ATCTGTAAGATTTAATACTGTAAATAGATGTCTTTTTCAGTGTTAAATCAAATCTATTACATTTGAAATTAAAGTCATTGTTGTCATTCAAAATGACACATGGAATTTGCTTTCTAGATTAAATACTGTCTGAAATGTCTTATTTCTCAAAGCATTCTCAGTCCTGATTTGCACCACCTATTTGACATATTGTTCTTGAACCTGTCTTGTACACATCAGCTTTTCAATTAATGAGGTATCAGGAAAAATGATGTGTCTCTTGAAGAAATGTTGGAATTTTTTGTTTTTGCCTGGTGTTGTTTTCCCTTTGAAATTCATTTCTCTTTCCTGTTCTGTTTTTTTTTTATTTTGAGTGGTACTTATATCTGAGCAATTATGAATGTATTGTGTTAGAAACAGTGTATTCTTCTGTTTGTTTTCTTTTTATTAATGTCTGCAGCATTCATTCATCCCAGACCTTGGTAAAGGACAAATCAGCAAATATATACCCCTTTGTTTTATAGCTATTGATGGTGGTTGGGACAGCCAGACCAGCCAAACACAGCTGAGAGAAAAGATGCAGCAGATTAACAAGTGAAAAGCTGGGGCAAAGGAAACAGGATTATAAGAAACAAACCTCCAGAAACCTTAGGGGAAATAGAGCTAGCTAGAGGGAAGGTCTTGGTCTGAGTTGGCTAATGTACCCCTCCCATGTTATTGTGAGCTACTGTTTATGTTGTAGTTTATAGTAATTTTTGTGTCATCTTTTTGTTTGGTCTGTTCCCATGGGAGGAGGGGGTGGTGAGGAACTAAATCATTCTATTTTCTTTTGGAGATGTCTGAACTGGGAATTTTTTTTCTTCATTAGCCAGCCCTGTTGCTTGATCTCTGACAGCTATCTTAAACTTAATATGCACTGTCTTCAGTGTAGAGCACTTGTTGATTTTCTTATATTTGAATTGTAAGTGTCACTTTAGATCAGGTTTAACCTTTAGAGGGAAAACAAAATGAATTTACATTGACTCTTAAGCCTTGTTTTGTTTTCATACACTGCATAGAGATAATACTTGTTTCCTTGTGCTTTCCATACCAGTGTGCTTTGAGGTCAGTGCTTCCCTTTTTCTTTAATCACAATTCCCTATAGTTACAAGTAACAGACACAGAATAAAAGAAAATGACAAATAAGATTATTCAAGATTAACATAAAAACTATCCACTAATACATTGAGCCCACATGGCCTCTCTGAGCCTGCCCTGAGCCCTCTGAGCATTTGCTCAGTTATATCTGTATTGAGGACTGTACTTGATTTGGTGATTCTCTTTTCTGTTTGGTTTTATGACAAGCAATTCCCTCTCACTGCAGGGGCCAGATGAGAAGCACCTCTTCATGGCCACTGCAACTCCAGCAGGCATAGCCGAGGGAGGGGTACATGACCCCCTGCTGGGACAAGTCTAGGTTTGTCTGCTCCCCTGTGCTCCCCAGCCAGAGTGAAAAGTGCAGCAAACCCTGTGCTTTCCACTTGGTCCCTGGGGAACAGCCAGCAATGTTCACATACAAATTGGGGAGGGGGCCCTTAAAGCCTCTGCCTGCGCAAAAGGGTGCCTGGGAGGTGGGAGACTTGGAGCTGGGGCAGTCCTGGAATGAGGAGAGTGCACCCCCAGCCATCCCCTTTTACCCATCTGTTGATTCTGTCTCTTTTCTATACGGCTACGTCTAGACTGGCCCCTAATGCCGGAAAAGTCATGCAAAGCAGGTAAGTCAGAATAGGGAAATCCGCGGGGGATTTAAATATCCCCCGCGGGATTTAAATAAACATGTCCGCCGCTTTTTTTCCGGCTTGAGGAAAAGCCGGAAAAAAGCGTCTAGACTGGCGCGATCCTCCGGAATAAAGCCCTTTTCCGGAGGATCTCTTAGAAAGTACTTTCCTTGAAAGTAGGAATAAGAGCTCCTCCGGAAAAGGGCTTTATTCCGGAGGATCGCGCCAGTCTAGACGCTTTTTTCCGTCTTTTCCCCAAGCCGGAAAAAAAGCGGCGGACATGTTTATTTAAATCCCGTGGGGGATATTTAAATCCCCCCGCGGATTTCCCTATTCTGACTTACCTGCTTTGCATGACTTTTCCGGAATTAGGGGCCAGTCTAGACGTAGCCTATAGGTTTATGAGACGCAGTCCCATTCCAGGCACATCCCATTTTCCTGGCACAACCAAACCTTGCTTTAAGTTCTGATAAGAGGAAGATGTGTACTGAATTTGGGGTCCTAGCTCTTACCATTTATGGGAGTTCTTGAACAAATAGACAGACAGACAGACACACAGACAAACAAATATATACAGGAAGCCCTCGCAATTCATGGTAGATGTGTTCCAAGGTGAATGGCAAAATTCACTAATACTGGGAGCCGCAGCTCCTGCCCCCCAGTCAGCTTCACACAGCTCCCGAACTTACCACAAGGGCCAGGAGCCACAGGGAACTCACTGCAGCTCTGGGCAGCTGCGGGGAACTCACCACAGGCTCCTGGCTTCCTGCCCTTCCCCTCCAGACCAGGACAGGAGACCCCCACGAATACATGAAACCATGAATACCAATTCTGTGAATTATGAGGGTCTCCTGTAGTAGATTTTCCTGGAATTATGGAAGACAAATATCTTTCTTGTTGATATTAGTATAGTTTCACTGATGTAATAATTGAGAGGGTAGATACATTGTTTCATTTAATATGCCGTTGTGTTACTGACA